CACACATCACTATCAATTCAGGTTTGCATTTCAGGCTGGTATTGTTGCGGAATAAACTTTTGACTTCATATCGTTCCAGCTACTCTATATCAGATGTTCAAATGGTCTGGTTGTTCTTCACTTCAATCATAGCGACAATTACCTGCAAAGAGAATCCACGAGTGCATACACCTTTGGGCGATATGGTAGGTGTGGTGAAAATGATTAGAAATGAAGAAGTTTATCAGTTCAGGAACATTCCGTATGCTAAACCACCGACGGGAAACTTAAGATTCGCCAAGCCAATACCCCATAATTCGTGGTCTGGTGTTCTTAATGCTACTGAATTTGGGCCTTCGTGTATGCAGCCACCATATGAAAACTACATATATGATAAATACAAACCTAATGCAGACATATCAGAAGATTGTTTGTCATTAAACGTGTACACCCCAAGGAACATCTTTATAAACGCCAATCGATCTGTCATGGTTTGGATACACGGAGGTAGCTATTTTATTGGACAGGGATCATCATATGACGGGTCTTACCTCGCACTGACAGGAGATGTAGTTGTTGTAACACTCAACTACCGGCTAGGGCTGTTTGGAATTTTGACATCTCCAGAAAATGGGATTTTAGGGAACTATGGCATATGGGATCAGCGTCTGGCGCTAGAATGGGTACAGACAAACATTGTATCTTTTGGTGGGAATCCGAATTCTGTTACAATATTTGGACAATCTGCTGGGGGCTTTTGCGTATCGCTACATGCAATTTTACCCCAAACAAGAGGTCTGTTTCACCGAGTTATTTCTCAGAGTGGAAGTCCTGAGGGTTCTCTTGCGTTATGGCTAAACGCATTATCTACATCGGAAGCAATCATAAGGATGTCCGATTGTAAAACCGAAAACTTGACAACACTAACGTGTATGCGAAAAAGGCCAGCCTCAGAAATAGTTTACAATTCTAATAACCTTTTTAGGAATCAATTTTCCAACGAGGATTATTTCGGCTTACCATCTGGCCCTGTTGTTGACAACGACTTGGTCCATGAGGATCCAGCTATGTTGCTCATCAACAAGACTT